TCATATACCTAAACCTAAAATAAGGTCTGTGGTAAGCACAAAGTCAAGATATTTTAATGTTTTATTCTATGACAAAAAATACATTAGTAATATCCCCTTGTGTGTGTTTTTTAAAGCTTTTACTTGCTAACAAGTGGCTGGTTGCTAACAAGTGGCTAAATGGGACTACATAGTGTGTCAAGGATTTTAAACCTCATCACGCCTACCAGGTAAACCCATCTACTCACCAGTCTACTTTTACAGCCTCATTATGTTTATAACCGCAATCTTGAAAAGAATTCCAACTGAAACTTTCAGGTAAATGTGAAAAATGAAATAGTTCTCAGAAGCTTAATGGTGGTGACGTTAAAATCATGTGACCAAGGTGTTGTTTGTTCACTTTTTACTTCTGGAGATTGTATTTAGGCTTCAAAATTAATCCAGTTTGTGTTCCTTTGTGAATATTATCATGATGAACAAAACGTGTAAGAATCACAAACTTTTGCTAATCACAGTTTATTTTCTGCATTAATCCAAAAGCCAATGGAAAAATCTCATTTTGTCAAGGAAACCAGGATGATGCTAACTTCTGGGTTGGCCTACAAAAATATGACAACACAGCAACGCTTTTAACACCAGCGTGCAGCAAGCACAAAATGAATAGACATAGCTGCTGGCACAATAAACCATATATAACTGTGTCTGTACCTTTGATGTAAGATCTCGGTGGAAAATGCCCTTGCTGTGTAGATACTGCAGCCCTCTTGCAATGTCCAGAGACAGACCTATTCTCACGCTCCATGACAGATATATGTCACTGTCCAGCAGCTGCTCAAGGTTGCCCCCATTTATGTACTGTAAACATAGTGACATTACAGTTATCATCACATCAACCTGACAGTCCATTTACTCCTGAAGTCTGTGCATTTTCTGTGCAGTGTCTTACCTCCGTTAGAGCATGAAGCTGTCCTTCATGAACACACACCCCCAAAAACCTAATGAAAGTGAGAACAATTATTTATTTTCTATATTTTTTGGATACCTTTTGTGAATACGCATCTTTAACCTGAGGTAATTTCCCAATAGGTTAAATAAAATCTCATATTTATCAAATTCAAGTCAGACTCTACAAACACACAACCCAAGAAAAATATTATTTATAATCATTACATTGTAGTATTTTTAAATCATTCCATGCCTACAGAGAGAAGTATTCCCTGTTTTACAGTGCCTTGCGAAAATATTCATACCCCTTCATTTTTTTCACATTTAGTTGCTGCCTTATGCTAAACTGCTTGAAATTACTTTTTTTCGCACATCAATCTACACTCCATACACCATAACGGTAAAGCAAAAAACTTTTCACTTTTAGGTTTTTAACATCTTTGCAAATTTATTAAAAATAAAAAACTTAAATGATTCCACTGCATAAGTATTCATACATATCTGGGACAGTTGAAATTTAGTTCAGGAGCATTCATATTGCTTGTAGATGTTACTACACTTCGAGTGAAGTTAACCTGTGGCAAATTCAATTGAATGGGTATAATTTGGAAAGGCACACACATATTAATAAAAGGTCTAACAGCTGATAATGCATATGAGAGCAAAAACCAAGCCCCGAGGTCAAAATAACTGCCTGTAGAGCTCAGAAACATGTTTGTGTCAAGCCACACATCTGGGGAAGAGATCAGAAAAAAATTCTGTTTCATTGAAGAGTCACAGAAGCATGTAGTCTCTGTTACCCTTAATGGAAGAAGTTTGAAATAACCAGGCCTCTTCCTAGAGCTGACCTCCTGGCAAAACTGAGCAATTGATGGAAAAGGGTCTTGGTTAGAGTGGTGACCAAGAACCTGATGGTCACTCTAGTTGAGCTCCATGATCATATGTGGAGATAGGAGAAACCTACAGAAGGACAAACATCACTGCAACACTCCACCGATCTGGGCTTTATGTCGGAGTGGCCAGACTCAATCTTCTCCTCAGTGAAGACACATAAAAACACCTAAAGGACTCTCAGACTCTGAGAAACAAGAGTCTCTGGTCTGATGAACCAGACTGGGCAGAAGGTTCACCTTCCAACAGGACAATGAACCGAAGCACACAGCAAGAGTGGCTTATAGACAACTCTGTGAATGTCCTTGATTGGCCCAGCCAGAGCCTGAGCTTGAACCCAATCAAATAATTCTGGACTTGAAAATGTGCACCTGCCCCCATCCAACCTGACAGAGCTTGAGAGGTGAAGAGGTGAGGAGAAGAATGGCAGGTCATTTCCAAATGATGATGATCAAAGCTTGTCGCATCAAACAAAAAAGACTTGAGACTGTAATGGTGCTTCAGCTAAATATTTTGTTATGCAATGTACTTATTTCAGTTTTTTTTATTTTTAATAAATTTACGAAGTTGTGACAATTCTGTTTTTGCTTTGTCAGTATGGTGTATGGAGTGTAGATTGATGTGGGAAAAAAGTCATTTAAAGCAGTTTAACATAAGGCAGCAACATAACAAAATGTGAAAAAAATGAATGGGGTATTAATACTTTCACAAGGCACTGTATGTACAAAAAGGAAAAATGCTGAATCTCACACCTGAGGATGTTAGGGTGGCAAAGGCGGTTCATGAGTTGCACCTCTCTTAGCATGTTGGCTTTGTTACTGGCCAGTGTATTCATCTTCAGAGCCATCACCTGCCCTGTGATTCTGTGCTGCACCTGCAGAATACATACACACACTTATTCAGTGACACTAATAAAAAGTTATATATGTATGATACATGTAGTACACCAGAGCTGCCCAAACCAGGCCCATGACCTTCGGCCCACAATGCTACAGATGTTAGTCAACCAGAATAAGTATTTTACTGCTGCAGGTACCGCAACCATTTCTGTGGCAAATGCATTTGCAGTTTTTGACTCCCAAGTGGCGCTTTAACCGTAGACTTGGCGGTTTAACCATAGGCGAACATATCAAAGCACATTTTTGAGAGTACCAGTCAACCTTGCCTTGCCAATGGGTTAGATTTGACTGTTGCAGGCAGCAAATAATATAAGAAAAACACTGTAGTTAGAATTCTTATTCACAAGAACAAATTTAGTACTTTTGAACTTATGTTAACGTGTTTGTTGTTTATGTCAAGACTGTGAGCCTGTGCTTACCTTTTACTTTAGGCTACAGTACGACACATTTAACAAGTGCAGTATTATTTATGTGATTGAATCCAATCACATAATATCCTATGTATATCACTAGAGGGTGGAAAAAAAAGTGATTTAGGCATTTTAAGGAATCTTTTTGTTTTAAAATTTTTATATAGATTTTTGAAATTTTCACTGAAATGTAAATAAAATGATTGAATTAGATTTTTAAACGTACATTTTAATATAATATAACTGGATATAATGCAATTTACTTTTGGCCTCTGGCCCTCAATCAAGTTTGATTTTTGGCCTTTTGTAGTAAAAGGTTTGGGTATTTCTGACTATTTAAAATTACGTTTTTTTTTTTTTTGGTCAAAGGCAATATACAGTAATGTATTTTTTCCACAAATGGTTATGTTTTTCTGAATGTATTTATATTATTGAACACAGCCTATATATACACACTCCTATACAGGAGTTAAAGCTATAGGTGGATTAACATATCATGTCTTGTTCAGTGAAAATCCAAACTAATAATTGGGTATATTGATATCATGTGGGGGCAGTCATGGTCTAATGGTTAGAGAGTCTGACTTTTAACCCGAAGGTTGCGGGTTCGAGTCTTAGGTCCAGCAAAAATTGTCAGTGGAGGGAGTGAATAACCAGTGCTCTCTTCCACCCTCAATACCACGACTGAGGTGAGACCCTTGAGCAAGGCACCGAACCCCCAGCTGCTCCCTGGGCACTGCAGCAATATGGCTGCCCACTGCTCTGGGTGTGTGTTCACTACTGTGTGTGTGTGCACTTGGATGGGTTAAATGCAGAGCACAAATTCTGAGTATGGGTCACCATACTTGGCCACACGTCTCTTCACTTCACTGTATGTATAACCTGTAGGGTGCTTATCATCGCTCATATTCTCAGGAAAATCATGGATACATAGCAGAAATGGACATAAAACATTTAGTAAGATTTATTCTTAAGTGAAATAAGTAAACAGACTAAAATGAAATACACTTATCTTCTAGATACATTCTCTGAAAAGAGAATCTTCTGATACCATTTTTATTTACTTTTTTTTTTAATGTTATATATAATGTTTAGATCCTTAATGATTTCGCTTTCCAAAATATTTGCCTAAAACTTCCACAGCTAGTCAGCACAAGTGTTTGATGGGTCATGCCATTCAGTCATGTAAATGACCTGCTCTCATTCAGGATAAAATCTATGTACATCTGCACAAGAGTATCTCAAGCTTTTTCTGGCATTTCTAGGCAGAATTTCAAGCATGCATTAGACTGATTTCCCATTAAATGTGAGGCTAGTAGAGGAGTTGAGGATATAGAATCTAGTGGAGGATTGAGAGGTTGTTGGGATTTGTATGTGCAATAATGCAATAGTTGCATTAGTGTATTTAGGTTTGAATTAAATATGGTTTTGTGTATATGAGTTAGAGTGAGTTGGAGAAAGATCCAGTACAGTATGCTGAGTATTAATAGCCATTAGGGCACTAATGGACTTTCTGGATTTCCCATCATCCCACCTACCAGCAGGAATCACATCTAAAAATAAAAATAAAAGACAAATTACAGTTTTCTTGAGCTGGCACAAACCACTTTCATTAAAGAGATAGTTCACCCAAAAATTAAAATTCTGTAATTAATTACTCACCCTCAATGTCGTTCCAAACCCGTAAGACCTTCGTTCATCTTCAGAACAAAAATTAAGATATTTTTGATAAAAATCCGAGAGCTTTCTGACCCTCCATAGGCAGCAATGCAACTGAAACATTCCCAGGCCCAGAAACGTAGTAAGGGCATAATTAAAGGGGTCATATGACGTTGCTAAAAAGAACATTATGCTGTGTATTTGGTGTAATGCAATGTGTTTATGCGGTTTTAGGTTAAAAAAACACATTATTTTCCATTGTATGCATTTTTCTTTTTTTCTACTTGTTACTTTGCACTTTTTGTTAGAAAATGTTTATTTACTATTTATTCCGTTTTTTTAAGGTATCTAATATTTTGATACTTAATTTCCATGATCTAAATATTCTTAAAAATTATTTAAAAGTTTGTTGTCATTTGGAAGTGTGTAGGCCTTCTTGCATTATTATGCTGTTACATTATGATTATATATTCAGTGGCATAAAATGGTCTTTAAAATTACAATAATATCATTTATCGCAATTATTTCTGGGGAAATATATCGCACAACAAAAAGTTGTTATCGTGACAGGCCTAATCATATGACTCCTATAAAATAGTCCATGTGACATCAGTGGTTCAACCGTAATTTTATAACGCTACGAGAATACTTTTTGTACGCAAAGAAAACTAAAATAATTACTTTATTCAACAATTCTTCTCTTCCGTGTCAGTGTCCTTACTATGTTTCTGGGCCTGGGAACGTTTCAGTTGCATTGCTGTCTATGCAGGTTCAGAAAGCCCTCGGATTTCATCAAAAAAATCTTAATTTGCATTCCGAAGATGAACGAAGGTCTTACGGGTTTAAACGACATGAGGGTGAGTAATTAATGACATAATTTTCATTTTTGGGTGAATGATCCCTTTAAACATTCAAAGTTACATGCACAGCTTCCTGCAGAACGATGTATTTGTCTACTGTATAGCAAAAATATAAATATTCAAAAATATGTGCCATAACAGCTCTGGTTTTTGTTATTTATAGAGAACAATAAAAGTCATGCATTGGACATTTTTAGACCTCTTTAGTTAGTTAATAATTTAAAATGTGTGCTCACATTACTGTAGTTGTAGTAATTCTGTCAAGAATCTGTAATTCTGACTTAACTAACCACTAATAAAGAACTACTAAATAGCTGTAATAAATAGAATAAACGACAGCTAATGACACCTGCAAAAAAATAAATAAACGGATAAGAGAAATAACTAAATTTATATCATGGTCCACAATGTTCTTAAAAAGTATGAAAGGAGTGTCAGTTATTGAATATGGGACAATTGAACTTCAGTTGCATACATGTTTTGCTTACATGATCAAAATTATGTTAAACAAACAATCAAGGCTATTTTTTCATTATTTGATTTTGAGAGGAAAAACAGAGATGCCAACTGCTGATAGATGCAAAAACTTTCAGATGAAACCAATAGACTATTTTTGACTTGCACTTGAGACGGTCGACAGAGGAATGGGCTAATAAACACACACCCCTCTGTGAAGAGGCAGACAGATTAGGGCAGGTTGGTAATCTGATTATGCTGTCGAGTACAACCAACCTGTCTTATCATTAATCACAGACACCGTTGCTCTTAACATGGACACATTTGACACTGTTGTAGTATAAACAACACAAGATGATTGATATGTAGAGTCCGTCTGATGAGACATAGGCTATGTAACGGGAACTCCCTATAATAATAGACAGATTATAGAGGAGCCAAAGGAAACTTTCATGGTTGTAATGCATTTTAAAGTAAATGTGTTGGCATGTGCTTACTCTGATTATAGCTATTACACTCCATTTGTGAGATTTTAGGATCTGTGTAGATGTTTTTTAAACTACACAGGCATTCAAATGTCAGTGTTGCTTTAAACTAGAGATTTCTTCATGAACAATATGCAGAACCATTTTTAATAGTTTTCTTTCTTTGTTTTTATATTGAAATGATCATACAAATAAAATCATGTTGATTATTAATTATTTTTAATATTATAATTAATTGTTGTTGTTGAGAAATTATCACACAATATAGGTTGCTTTACTATTGTGAACAGCACTGTTGGGTGCTATTCTGCAATGAAAAATATAGCCTAAAAATGGTAACATGTTAACTGGTTTTTCTTCAAGTCGAAATTATTATTTAACATCACGGTATCAACCTAAATACATTAATTTATACCAACAAAGCTTTTACTGGTAGACACAAAGTTAAAAACTAAATAAATACATACATAAAAGCAATTAAGTCGATAAGTTGATAAGTGTGAAATATCTGTTTTACACACACGTAGGCTATATAGCAACCGTGATCACCAATAATCAGTTTCTACTATAAACAATAATTTAAGGTTGTACAGTGATTATTGGAGACTCACTAGCCTAATTAATATATATATGTATATGGGGTGTTTTAAATTATGCAAACGCCTCCTTGCTTCCATCCCAAACTTCATTTAAAGTGCATCTGATCAAAAGTTGCAACCAAATATCAATCAGGAGGAGCATGAGTCATGACCACTGCAATAAGCCTACAACATAGGATAAAATGAGGAAAAGTTACCTTGAAGACTTCTGAGAAAAACCCGGAACCGATTTTTTCACAGAAAAAATCGTCAATTCGTGCCAGGCTGGACACGGCACTTCGCAGAGCCCGGTACGATGACGGCCGTATCCGGTTAGGCCCGTAAAGGGCATGCATAGGGGGTTCGCATGGTTCTTGGTTATCATCTTGATCCATAATGATGGACAGGCAGGCAGCGGGTCCCTTTAACGCAACCAAGTCCAAATATCCATATCCCGAGTGAGATGCACGACAAACAATTGCTTACAAAAACAGCTCAATAACTAATAAAAGGCCGTGCAATGCTGTAAACCACATAAAAACTACCCGATTAAATATTCTCCAAAAAGGGCAGATGAACGCAAATGATGAAAAGTGCGCTCGGGCTCTTTCCCGAGTGATGCGGTTGCCATGGTTCATATTCCGGTCCAGAAAGGTCTTGCGTTATCGTCGGCAAATTCCGATAAGCAGATTCCTTCCCAATATCTGTAAGTTAGCTGTAGCCGGTAGCTTCACTCCCAGCGACTTTTACTAACAAACCACCTGCAAAAAAGGGGGTTAAATATGGTTTAAAAATAAGCAATGATGCCTCATTACATGTTTAGGCATGGGCTTATGAATCACATTAAGCCGAATAAACGGCGACAGCAAATTGTGCCAAAGATGCAGCTATAACGCATATGGGACAACTCTTATTTGCAAGCTCTTTAAATAAACATAGAATACAGCAAAACAATTCCAGTGGCTAGAAGAAATGCGGTGTGTCCGCACCATCTGTCAAGCTTGGCTACAGACAGGATCCATTGCGGACTGTTGCTGAAATGACATGACCGCTAAAGGGCTTGCTGTAAATGCAATTTGCTTTTCATCTTTATCGATTTTCAAAGCGAATACCGTCTTGCAGACTTAGCCGATTATTATTTTCTATTAGACATGCGATATTAAAATAAAAGCATCTTTAAGTATGGGGACGGCATGCACGTATCAGGGCCCATGCGGCTGCCCTAGAATATGGCACTGTACCTGTTTTTAGTAGGATCGAAGAAAAGACTTTCTCGTTTGGGTACCAACGTTGCATTTAGCAGATCTTCAGTGTTTTGTCAACAACATGTCATTCGCAAGCTGTCACTATCCGCCTCGGCCATTGTGAAACGCTTATGCCGCTTGTAAATTTGCCCGTTCATTGGTGAAGAATAGGGGCAGGTCTTGGCAAGGCTGGACATTGCGCGTCGAGCATGCGCAGTAAATGCTCCAGCGTGTGCCCGTATGATTCTGCACTGCATTCTTCATTTTGTTTCCATAAAATAGCCGGACGCCACAGGCTGCATTTTATGTCAATTTAAGCTTAAATGAGTTTGAAAGCGGTGCACTAAGCACATCAAAAACAAGTTTTTACATTTGCCTTTATTTGTGAAATGAGCTTTCGTAATTTGGCTTCTGATTGGCTGCATAATACATCGATCAAGCATTCGAGCCAATGAGCGGCCAGTGCGCTGGCGTGACTGAACTAAGAAGTCATCTTTACATTTCATGTCACACTGCAGCGTGCAGACATGCAGTGCGTGTTTTGGATGATATCATCGTCGTGAGTCAGCATACAAAACCAGGCCACTGACCCATCGTTTGAAATGAAAGTATTGCATCATATCAATTTAGTCACTGTTGTGCAATTATTTCTATGCGTCCTCTCATTCTGGTGAACTCTTCTCATCCGAATGAAGCCACTATTTTTTTACCATCTAAGCTAAATCAGACGATTGTTGGGAAATAATTGACTTTAATTACATTATTAAAACCTAACCCAGTGAATTTGCCCATATGCTTAACCTGAAATAGCCTATAAGATTTTTTTATAAGATTTCTAAAACAATTAGACTAGGTAAATGTTAAAGGCAATGTTTTTCGTTGAATTGAATGAGTACATGGAAAATTCTTCTTCCAAACCATGTTTTACCTTGCCGATACAGTCTGTTTCTTTTTTCGCCACATTCAATTTATGAATTACTCACGTAAACAATAGCTTTATTAGCCTATATTCCTAATCCTAAACAGGAAAGTTGACAAAAAGTCGAGAAGTTTATAAATATTAATGTATTATTTAATAGAGTCAAATATTAAATGTTTAGCTCCTTACAAATAACTCTTTCCCTGTTTAAATGAACTAGGGCCTATAAAATTTAGTGTGATGCAAGAAGAAAAAAACAAATTCATCAGTAATTGTATGAAATTTTATTTGAATATATGATTATATGAAATTTTTAAGAACATATAAAATGACAACTTTCAATTGATTGAATTAAATTCTTTGAACTTACAACTCACTGTCTAAATTTATGAAGCCTACACATATTTTTTGTAACAAAACAACATCAAAACAATATTATTATTACTATGTAATGTCAAACAAAATATGTTCATTTTACTTGCATAAATTTTCACTTTCAGATCAAAAAATGATCAACAGTCTAAATCTCCTGCCATGGTTCATCAATAGTTGGCAGCAGAGTTAAATGTGGGCTTCAAACCCTCATTCCTTTTTCTTTAAACTTTGGGGTTTAGTTCAATTATGTCATTTACTCGTTGTCTATTTATAGTGTGTTTGTGTGTGCATATTTAGTCCTAAAAGAGTGTGAGAGCTACAGGAAATAGGCTTAATAGATTTTGACACAACTGTAACTCACAGATGGAAATAAAACTGCATATCAGCCCTGAATGAAAAAAAAAAGTTTTACAATTTAAAAAAAAATGTTTTTTCCTGTACAGAAAAGGTTTTTTTGTTTTTGGTTGTTTTATGGCTAGTGTTTTGGTTGTTAGCTATAAGGTGAGCTATAGTTCATGGCTACAAGACTCCAGGTTAGTTGTAACATCAATGAAACATTTTGCAACCTACCCCAAGCAAATTTGAGTTGTATTAGTATGTTTTCTTTGAATTTCAGTATGACTAAGTTTTGGAAGAGAAAGCCAAACTGAGTGATGTCTCTCAGTATGGCCTCTTAGGATTTCCGTAATCATGCTCACACACAAACACAAAAAAAGTTCAAGTGTTCAACTTCACTTTTATTATGGCCAATTGCCATTACTGACAGAAACAATGCTTGCATACACACACACACACACACACACACACTAATTATGTTGAAAAGATATCACAAGGTTACATTTCACCCCAGGGAATGTTACAACTAACCCGGACTATGGGGTGAATTGTAACATTTCACTCCTCATGTTTGAAACTAAACAATTAATTTTCTGTTTGTGCTGCAGATATAACAGATGTGTCATGTAATCGCAGACACTTGTAACTAGTTTGTATCACATTTTGAATGCACTGGCTTAAAATAACTCCAAGATACAGATAGAAATGTCAAAAATGTTACAACCATCCCCGGTCTCCCCTAAAAATGCATAAAATCCTATGAAATGTATAATTAGTATTTAAAATATATACAAAAAAATCTAATAATATTCATAAAATACAAAATAGAATTATACATATATATATATATATATACATCAATCCAATCCAATGTTCAAGACATGGTTACGGCCTTATATATATATATATATATATAAACTCAGTGAAGTTTGTTCAAAAATCTGAATAAGGTATGACTGCGTAACATTAAACTGCAGGGATTCAGTAACACCGCTCTGCAGAGGGCAGTAAAGAGCTCATTCCTGTTAAACCAAGCTACTAGTGATGGGAAGTTCGGTTCTTTCGGACAGTTCGAGTCAATAAACCGGTTGAAAAAACCGGTTTACCAGTTCTTTTACGCTCGACGTAATGACGTCATTGGCGATGACGTAATGGCGTCAAGTCTATCGCGGGTTTAACACATTAAAATATAAAGTCAGTAATCATAACATCAGTCAATTAAAACATCATTATAATCTGATACGTTTCTTACAATTTGGATTTTTGTATCTAAAGCATCAACACATATACAGGCAGTGATCTGCAAACTAGGACGTTTTACAGTTATGACGTCAATAAATGAGTCTTCATCAGCGCAGAAACTATGCTCCACTTACTGTGTATAATCCTTTACGGTTTATTTGTAATTAAGTAAACTTACGTTTCAAGTCTTCGGTTTACCCGCACTCATAACATTAGCTCAGAATCAATTGTCCAAAAGAACCAGTTCGGTTCAGACGTGCTGTGTCAATCCGTGTATCATTCGATCATTCGTTTTTTGATTTATAATGTAGTCTTGTGTTTTATTAAAATTTATTATAATTGATATCTCAAAAGGATATGCACTTGTGCGCAGCGTGAGCTACTGCGCACTCGCACTGCAACGCAAGATTTTCATAAAATATAATAACTTGCCATTTCGGTTTGTTTCTCACCAAACCCTCAGTATACCTTCAGAATGCTTGGAATATATTGCACGAGATGCATAGGATTATTTTACGACAGATAGTCACCATTTTCTGCCATTAAATTGGCAAGCGCGAGCAGGACATTATTGTGTTAAGTAATAAACCTTTAGAACAACATTAAGGTGAGTAGTCACTCTAGTTCACACAGTTCCAATAAATTGCGATGGGTTAAATAAACTCATTTTCTATTTTCAATATTAAATCAAAAAACGAATGATCGAATGATACACGGATTTGTGTCAGTCATAGTAGGGAATCTGGTCGGTAGCTTCACGCTGAATCGCGCATGCGCAGTATCATCAGCTCATCGGTTCTCAAATCGGACGTGTCCGAAAGAAACGGTTCTCGGTTCAGTGTACTGGTGATCCGAAAACCGATGCAACCGGTTCTTGACTCGAGAACGAGAACCGCTCCAGCAGTGGGCTCTGCTCGTGTTCATCTTCAGTTCTCTCTTCACAGCAGTTCAGTCAGTGTACTGTTTGAGTAAATAAATTACTCCGGGATATTGGTTTATTTCGACTCAGAGGGAGTGTCAGCCATGTTAAAAAAGTGAATAACTTAAGTAATTTGTGGATTAATGCTTACTGGAGACGCGAACCGTTTCAAATGATTCAGTCTGATTTGGTGAACTGGTTCAACCAGTTCACTAAGAAGAACCGGTTAAATCGAACGATTCGTTCGCGAACCGGACATCACTACAAGCTACGTGCTGGTGTCATTGCTGCTCATTGACGATGGCTTTGACCCGGTTCGAGCGGTTCTTGGGCCGATTGCTTCGAGCTGTGGTTTGGATGCTATTCGCTGCTTTTAAGTTATTTGCACCCCAGCAGAGGCATGGAGTTTCGCGACTCCCACCCATCACTAACCCACTTCTGCTGCTCTCAGCGATGCAGCTTGCCCGAAAGATTCGTCGGAAAGAAGTAAGATGTTAATAAAAACTGCGTAGGCTTTATGGCTTGATAATTATTATTAACAGCATAACCGTAATGACATTTTAGTTACTCTTTGAGTAACGCTACGGTAAAGAGCTTATTCCACACCCATTATGAGGAAGAGATACGACAATGTGAATTTTAATGAATGCTGGGAGTTGTAGTTTCAACACAGTTTCAGTTTTATAGCATAGTTTATTAACACAATATTTTGTCTTCTGATCACAGTTCTTTTTAATGTAAGTAATCAGAGTGGGACGCGTATTTGCATTGGCTCACTAGTTTAGAGGAATTCACGAGTTTCCTAGGCTGTTCAAAGGTCAGCAGTAGTTGTGAAATCAATAGCTATATTGTTTAGGGCCTCCTTAAAGCCTCCTATAGGCTACTGTAGGTACAGTATGTGTATCAAGCATCCAGACCAGTTATTTCGTCTGAAAATCTGATTTTATATGGGTTATTTATTTTCAACTCCCTTATTTGCTTGTACAAAAAAAACAAAATCAACAACAAAAAAACCAAATAATCCTTGTGTTAAATGATAGATATATAATATATAGTAGTGTAAAAGATATAAAATATATAGCAATATATATTTAATATTATATAGAAGTTTTATATAGTAGTAACTTTTTAAATAAAAGTATTATATTTCACTTATATTTTTTTCAAAAAGTGACAAAAAAAGCTACACCGTCATAATATCAAAGGCATAATGAGAATTTTTTTTCCAGGGCATGTGATAATTCTTTTAGCTTTGATGAAGCATAGTTTGAATTTAAAGTTTAAAAATAATCAAAAATGTCTCTAAATGAAGAATCATGCAAATCTGCTCCCCATTTTATTTTGAGAACAGACACATTTAACATGGTGCAGTGTGCACATTTTCTAGGCATTTAGCTCTAAGATTC